CCAGGAGTCTAAGTCTATAGCAGCAGAAATGAAGAATAATTCAGGAAAGCTAAGTCTAACTGTGGGGTTTATCAAAAAGGAAAGTCTTCAGTCTTATCTTAAAAGTAGACAGTGTCAGCTTCACAGATAGAAACTGGAAGTTGGTTCCACAAGAGAGGAGCTTGATAACTGAAAGCTCTGCCTCCCATTCTACTTTTAGAAACTCCAGGAACCACAAGTAAACCTGCAGTCTGAGAGTGAAGTGCTCTGTTAGGAAAGTATGGAACAATAAGATGTTTAAGATATGATGGAGCTTGGTTGTAGGCCAGATTAATGCCATCCAGAGCAGGTGAAAGGATACAAAGTTGATCCCTAAGATGTTCAGGTCCAAAAACCACAACCTCTGTCTTATCTGAGTTTAGAAGCAGAAAATTAAGAGTCATCTAGATTTTTATGTTTTTGAGGCATGCTTAAGTAACTGGTTAGATTTATCAGGTTTCATGGATAAATATAACTGAGTATCATCAGCATTACAATGTAAATTTATCCCATGCTGTTTAATAACTTTACCTAATAGAAGCATAAATTAAAGAGGATTGATCCAAGCATTGAACCCTGAGGAACTCCATGACTAACTCTGGTGTAAGMAGARGATTCATTATTAACATTAACAAACTGAAATCTATCAGTTAAATAAGAYTCAAACCATTTYAGAGCTGTTCCTGTAAKCCCAATATCAAGTTCAAGTCTACGTAATAAAATATTGTGATCAATTGTATCAAAAACAGCACAGAGATCTAACAGGACAATAGTGGACACAAGTCCACTGTCTGAGGCCATGAGAATATCATTAGTAACTTTAACCAGTGCTGTTCCTGTGCTAAAACCTGATTGAAACTAGGATTATTTCTATCCAAATGTTCACACAATTGATTTGCAACTAATAAGCAAGAATTTTTGAGATGAATGGAGATTAGATATTGGTCTGTAGTTGGCCAGAACTCCTGAATCAAGATCAGGTTTCTTAAGTAAAGGTTTAATTACAGCAACATTAAAGCTTTGTGGCTAAAAAAGGCCAAGGCTTTTTTAGAGGGCACATATGTAAATGAAAATATTATGTCTCTTGATCCTACCTTATTACAAAATTACCTAAATGTTAAGAAGAAACATGATGGAGAATTTATGTAAGAAAAATTATAAATGTTGTAAAATATTTATGTAAATAAAAAGAATAACTAATAATTATGTGTCTTCATTTATTCAAATTGCACATTTTTCAGTTCCACATACAGGGACTTGTTCWTAAACTGGGGTGGTCAGTCAGTTCCCAGAGTGGGCAAGTGTCACCCTGACCACCTCTCTGACTCTGCCCCTGCTGAAGTCTGGGCTTTGACCGGATCATTCCAGGACATTAGGCTGTAAACCAGTGGAATGTTGCATCATCAGTGCTCAGGGTCATTGCCTGCTGGAAGATGGACCTGTTGGTTCATGAACAGTAGCTCTACGAGCTACGTGCTGATCTTGAAGTGTCTGCAGTGTCCTGTGTATTTGCCTTCCTGTCTGGGGAGAGTACACAGATCTTTCAAGAGCTGCTTCAAGCAGTTGTTAATAAAATGGAGACCATGCAGATTTATCCAGACCCTTGTGTTGTTGTTCATGATTTTGAGTTGGCTTCGACCACCTAACTCAGCACGTGTGGAGAAAAATCCAGGAACTGGGGAAGATTTGTTTTCAGTGATGATGTTACCCTTGTGTGTGGGATGCTTGATGGGTTGGACTTCCTTTCAAAAGACAAGTTGCAGGTTGGCATTGCTTATCTGAGGCAACACAGACCAGATGGAATGAAAGATGGAAGACTTATTCAATTGAAGGCCAAGCATTTGAGGCCAAATACAGATCTAAGTTAAACTCGGCCATCTTGGATTTGATTGACCTCAAAAGGTAATCCATTCACTTTGTCCTGTGATTTATGACATAATTCTCCCCACTGTTCTTGAGATAATGTGGAAAACACACACACACACACACACACACACACACACACACACACAC